GAGAGAGAGAGAGAGAGAGAGAGAGAGAGAGAGAGAGAGAGAGAGAGAGAGAGAGAGAGAGAGAGAGAGAGAGAGACTGACGCTGAGTATGGTGTGCCAAACTCGGCGCCAAACAGTGGGTCAGTCGCCATACCACTCTCGAAATGTGCAAAATGATATTGAACTTGCCCTGCGAACACAGGCAGATGCCCCACTTTGTCTTTTTCACATTTTGAGAGTCTTGTGGCGACTCTCTCTCTCTCTCACACGTACACACACAATGTCAGACTCCCACAAAAAATGAATGAATCTTCCTCTACACAACGTCGGACTCCCACATAGAATGAATGGATCTTCCTCTATAAAGAGGAAAATTTATTCATTCTTTGTGGGAGTCCGACGTTGTGTGTGTGTGTGTGTGTGTGTGTGTGTGTGTGTGTGTGAGAGAGAGAGAGAGAGAGAGAGAGAGAGAGAGAGAGAGAGAGAGAGAGAGAGAGAGAGAGGGCGTCAGATACAGTCTCACGATGAGTTTGGTGCACCAAACTCGGCACCAGACAGTGGACAACCGCCACACCACTCTCGAAATGTGCAAAATGAGAATGAACTTCAGGTGAGAACACGGGCAGATGCACCCACCACTTTGTTTTTTCCACATTTCGAGAGTGGTGTGGTGACGCCCTCTCTCTCTCTCTCTTTTCCCCCCCACCTGCTGCGCCCGTTTTTGTTTTCGTTCGTCACTTTTCATTTCGTCGACGTTTTTTTTTTTTTTTTTTTTTTTTTTTTTCCTTCCTTTTATTTTTTGGGGAATACCGGTCGTTCGCCCCTAGGTACCCTACCCAATGCGACACGTTAACGACCGCATCGGAGTTTTTTAGCTGGGCGAGGTACTGGTGGTTTAATGGTCAAAAAGAAAAAAACAGCAAAACACTGAGCTTCATAAGTTCGTTCAAGCACAAAAGGTTGCACATCACATGTGGCGGGCCTTAGGAGGGATTTAGGACCTTGTTCGACACCACTTGAAACTCAAGGATTTTCAAGGAAGCATCGTTCCACCTCTCCCTAATTGTATTGATTTGGATGTCCGGAATGTTTCCACATTTTGCATCTCAAGGGTCTGCCCTTGAAACTCAAGTGCGGCCCAACCAAAACAACAAAAATTTCAAGGGAGCCTCGGGAGGTAACTTGAGTTCAAGGGCTGGACGCTTGGAAACGGGGAATTTACAGAAATTTTTCTTTTTTTTTGGATTATTCCACCAATCACCACTGTTCCTGGTGCAATTCTGTCAGCACTTCAGTTCCAAGGGCGGCCATCTCAAGGTTTTTGTGGAACGAAAAAACGAGTTAGGGGGTCACCCTTCGTGAGTTAGGGTGCCCTTGAAACTCAAGTATTTTCAAGTGGTATCGAAGGAGGCCCTTAGAAGCGAAGAAGAGCCTTCTAGCTGAGGGCAGAAGGCCCTTTTTTCCTGGGGGTTGGGAATGCATATATATATTTTTTAATTTTAATTAAAAAGCTATATTCTTCTCTCAATTTCACCTCACACTACAAATGTAAGGATTCTTACAAAATCGTTGTTCCACCACATGACGAAAAAAACGAACTCTAAAACATTTCTACATTTTGGGCTGTTAGGGTCCACCCCTAAAAAATACGGGCCGCCCAGGCGAAAGGACGAAATCTCTAGGGAGCCCTTGGAGGTGACTTGAAATGTAAGGGGGGGACCCTACGGATTGCCTGACAGGTAGAGGTCCTGACACCCGGCCCTCCTCACCTTAGATGTAATGGCGGGTAAGCCGGGGGCTAGGTCCCACTTGCACGGATTAAGAGATACTGACCGTAGATAGCAAAGATCAACGGCCCAAATCTCCTAATTTAATTAAGTGGGACCTTGCCCCGGCTGTGGAACGGAGAAAAAAGTTAGGGTCACCCTGGACTAGTTAGGGCGCCCTTACAATGTAAGAATTCGTAAGGGGTGTGGAACGAGGCCCTTAGGGCATTCTTTTTGGCATTCTTTTTTTTTTTCAATTTGATTTTAAAATTTTGGACCATTTCCCGATTTATGCGTGTCACCCTTGCGCCATGCTAATCTTTTCTGTATTTTTGAAGCCTATCGTTCCAATTTTAACGGATGTCCCGAAGGACAGGCAGGGCATGTGTTTTCGTTTCAGGTCGCGAGGCCCGAAGGCACTTTTTTTTTTTTTTTTCCCAGTGTGGTTTGTGTATTTAGACGTGTTAGGGGCAAAAGGGACTGGATCTAGTCGCGTTTCCTTTTTTTTTGGGCGGTGCTTTCAGGCCGCGTGATTCGATTTCAGATCTTGCTGCTGGTGCTGGGCGTCCTCCAGGCTGCAACCACTCCTTGCTGACTATTTCAGTTCTATTCGAACGGGACCGGCGGTCAAGGGCCCCCTGGCGAGTTCCCTCTTGCCCAGATCCCCCTTTTCTGACGAATGATAGATCCGGTAAGGAGGCCAGACCCATTTGGCTGGAGCGAGGTTGTCGTGGGACCGGCCATTCGGTGGTGGAATACCAGCGACGCATGGGCCACCCATCCTCCTCGGCCGTGAAATGGAGGTTTGAACCCCGCAGGCTACATGGATTGAGCCTTGAGCTCTCGCGGGTCGGAAGGGATGAACAGGCCGGACCGGGTCTGGACTGAAGGCGTGGGCATGGAGGGGCGGGAGGAGGTAGGGTAGGGAAGGGAGGGGGTAACTGCCACTGCCACACAGATCCGGTCTGGCTTTGGTCACGGAGGCGCGGAGGACGGCAAGCGGTTGCAAGGCCTGGTTCGGGTAGTGGTCCTCGGCATCCTCGCCCCCGCCCGAGGCATGGAGTGGAGAGCGAGGACTTTCCCACCACTCACAGTAAGCCTCACATAACATGTATGCAATGGATTGTAATTAATTGCCCCTGCCGCCACCCGTGCTTTTTTTTTCGGAAATTGGAGTGCACGTTCGCGGCGCGGTGTCGCGTTCGGCGCGACTGGTGAGCGAGTTGGGGAATGGTAGCGGGCGATGATCGAATGACACGGAATCGTGGCCTCTTCGCCATCTCATCCGAGAGAGTCGTCCGTCACGGCTCTGCAAGGCAAGGCAAGGCAAGGCACGGCACGGTACGGCACGGCAACCCCCCCTTCCACCCCCTCGCCCCAGAGCCCTCGGCGCGCCGTCCGACCGCTCTCCGCTCTCCATTTGGTCCACTTTTCCGAATTGTACGTCTTTGTAGGTTGAACGCGGCGCGAGGGCGGGAGCCGGAAAGAGGGAGGGAGCTCGTTTGATAGTGTGGTTTACCGTCTCCGTGTGTGTGATTGTTGTCGACTGTCTGCGCGTGCGTGTTTCATGTGAGTTTGTGTGGGAGAGAAAGAAGGTTTTCGGAGGCGGCCAGCGAGCGAGAGAGAGAGAGAGAGAGAGAGAGAGAGAGAGAGAGAGAGAGAGAGAGAGAGAGAGAGAGGCAATTTGCAGGAGAGAGGCAATTTGCAGGCGTATGAAGCAAGAGATGGATTACACATTTTCAGATGATAAAAAACGGAAATTGAACGAAGGTGGTTGCAATGGTGTGTCGGGCATGACCCATGAGGATATCAAGAAGCTTCTGGAGCCGTTGTCCAAAGAGCAGTTGTTGGAACTGCTGGTGAATGCGGGCACGAGGTATTCAGGTGTCGCGGACGAGATCCGGGAGGTAGCAAGCAAAGATCCTGCCCATCGGAAGCTCTTTGTACGGGGTCTGGCATGGGAGACCACCTCCCAAGCTCTGCGAGACGCATTCGCGGAGTTCGGGGAGATAGAAGAAGGAGCCGTAATTACTGACAAGGCGACTGGCAAGTCGCGCGGGTTTGGTTTCATCACGTTCAAGCACATGGATTCTGCTCAGCGCGCCTTGAGAGAACCTAGCAAGAAGATCGATGGTCGTATCACTGTCTGCAATTTGGCAGCCGCGGGCACTCTCGGCGGCTCGCAGGGTGGAGGCGGCGGCGATCAATCCCAACGTAAACTGTATATAGGCGGGCTGTCCTATGAGACGTCCACGGAGACGCTCTTGAACATCTTCGGTCAATTCGGCGAGATCGAGGAAGGCTCTGTGGCATACGACAAAGCGACGGGCAAGTCCAGAGGATTCGGCTTCGTGACCTACAAAACCGTAGAAGGTGCCAATAGGGCGTTATCAGAGCCTACAAGAACCATAGACGGAAGGACAGTACACTGTAAATTAGCGGCAGAGGGGCAGGCGCAGAAAGCGGCGGCAGCGGCAGCTGTGGCCGCGGCGGCGGCGGTGGCCGTTGCTCCTCCTTCCGGTCCGGGAATGCAGGGTTTTGGCGCCGGAGTGCCGGGCTTCGCACGGCCGCAAGCGCCAACCGCTCCAATGGCGGCGATGGCGGCGTATTCGAATCCGGCGATGGCGGCGTATGGAGCTCAAGCGGCAGCGGCCGCCGCTGCATCTTATTCTCTGTCTACTCCCCAAGCCTACCAAACCGCTCCTCAGTACACTGCCGCGCAATACGCCCAGTATGCCGCTCAGTTTCAGAATCCCCAGGTCGTAGGTGGAACTGCCACGGGAAGTGCCGGGACATCCGTATCAGTCCCATACTACGCTGGGGCTTCTGGGTGAAGGCCATGATCACGACCGTCTGACTTCGCCGAAAGTCAGCCTTGTCTTTCCTAGACGGGCCTAAGTATTCTAGACATGTGGATGGTACGGAAAGTTACGGTGTTGGGATGGCTCCCCGAAGTGCACAGAACGGAATGGCGAGATGGTGGGCGCATGAGCACCGTAGCGGGGAACGGTCGGATGTGGCAGACAGGGAGATAGGTTGACGTGTATGTGTGTGTGTGTGTGTGTGTGTGTGTGTGTGTGTGAGAGAGAGAGAGAGAGAGAGAGAGAGAGAGAGAGAGAGAGAGAGAGAGAGAG